TGAATTCACACTCAGGATGATATAACACTCCAGAAGCATAAGGAATAGAAGATACATTTTAGCAAATTCTATTCCACTTTTTATACCCAGCGCTTTGTGGCACAAAGAAAGTTCTCATACTTTGAAGAAATAATATCTGAAAAATAAACAAAGAGACAGGAAGCCCAATGCTGTCCCAACTCAAGAACTGATGTTCTCAAGAATATCAGTACTGGAAGGATTCTGAGAGTTTACCTATTACTAGCATAGTTCTCCCATAACTACCTAGAGACTCTGAGAGCTTGCAAGAAAGAACTTTCCTAAAGGCTCAATTCTTTTGGATTACTTTACTAAGTGAAAACTAGAAAAAGAATCTTATATAGAAAGAAAAGAAAAATGCTCAGTTCCACTTTACTTTCCAACATCTGCTTTTCAAATTCATATAATCCTGAACTAACTCTAAAAAGTGACAGGCCCTGCACCACAAATTAGAACCTGAAACTTTAGTTTTTCAGCTCTGTCAAGCATGAAATGGGAGAGAGGAACAGCAAAACTAGTCAATAATGAAAAGACAGGCCCCACCACTTGACCAATAAACTTACCCCCAAAAGACCACTTTGTACTTTTGTTCGCTTGGTTGTTTTTTTTGTTTGTTTGTTTTTTGTTTTTTTTTTTTTTTTTTTGCGGGGGAGCAAGGGTTATTTGTTTGTTGTTGTTGTTCCTTAGGGGATTTTTTTTCCTTTTGGGACCAAAGACCATGGGTAATAGGGAAAAAAGATTGTGAGTTAAGAAAGAGGCATATGATAAACTCATGAAAAGATCAGACACAAACCGAGTTCTATCTTTGAAGATCAGAGTAATTCTGGCCATGAAAGGCCCAACCCTAAGAGTACTAGTAGCTAGATCTTCTCCCATCCAGAGACACTGAGTCTATGAATTCCAAAGTCATTATGATACCTATTGTGGTTTTACTATTATCTTCTTTTGAAGTCCTGTACTGTTTCCATTGTTTTGTTTTTATTGGTTTTACTATTTGATTTAATTATGCCTGATGGCATGGGCAATTCTTTTAATGATAATAAGAGACATTATGGTAGCCATTACTGATCTCCTTGTATTTTGTTTTTAAGTCATATACTATGTTCATCCTTTTGTTCTGATTGCCTGTTCTGTTTTATTTTGTTTGGTTTGATTCTCTTCAAAAAAAATTCCAGTGGGTGGGTGGGTGGGTGACCGCCAAGGAATATACAAAGAGACCTAAGATAGGCTGTTGCCAAGCAACACTATTAGAAGAGAGTTCAAAATAATTGTAGCTATAATCTCATCCCATCCAGAGAGAATTAGATTTGGAAGCTGAGGGATAGACCAGATGACCTCTAAATATCCTTTCAGCTCCACCAGTCAGTAAAGCAGTTGCATGAGAAGAAGCAAGAGAAAAGAACACCAACCTTAAAACAGGCAACTATTATAGTTATTTCTAAAATAATGGTAAGTCAGAAGATTCACCACTGACTCAGCAACCTTTTTTCCCTCAAGCCTAATGCATGATTATAGATTAGTTGGTGGCTTTGAGGGTCCCACAAAGACTTTCTTGCCATACCAGCCCCTCCAGCTGGCTTCAAAGACAAACCTAAAGGAAATTTCCAAGATCATTCCTGCTCTGTCTCTATCATCTGTGCTTTCACAAGGAGTTTAATGAAGTGGAGAATCAAAAGTGGACAGGCAAAAACTTCTCTTATACTACCTCCATTCCTGATCCATTGCCCCATCTTGAAGTCTACAGGTAGGGCTGTTTCAAGGGTTAAAAGACATATTCTAACTCATATCTGCCAAGTACCACTTTAGTGCCACTCAAGTGGTTCAAGTAATGCTAGGAATGGCAAAAAAAATAAACAGTTCACACAGCCCCTGTTAAACTTTAGCTGAATGCAAACCCAGAAGCCCACAAATACTTCAAGAAATTAAGCTCCATGTCTGCTAACATGAATGGTACCATTAAATGACCACTTGATCACTTTTCCCCCAATTTGTTGATGCAGTGCTAAAAATTCAGCAAATCAAAGAGGTTTTACCAAGATTGACTCTGTAACTGAGACCAAGATTTAAGCCTGACTTTTTTTGCCACTGGAACATTACATCACTCTAGATTAGTCCTTTTCCATAATGGATTTCAATTTCCCCATCTCTACAAACAGAAGGGTTCGACTTGATAGCTATGAACTGCCTTTTAAACTCAAACATTTAGTAAATCAGAAGGAGGGAAGTAAAAAACTCAAGGACATCTTAAAAATTCAAAATAATCTCTTTTAGGGAATCTAGGCCTCAAAGCTGTTATGATCTTTTAAAAAAAGTTACAAGGGCCAGTAGAGAGAAAGACTTTTCCTGTTTGTAACTGTCTTACGATCAGGCAGTATAGATGGCAGGTAGTAAGCTTATTTTGGGTGTTAAAACAGACTCAGGAAATCAGCAATCAGAAGCAAAGTCTAAGAATGGTAAGAAGGAGGTAGGGGAGTGTGGCATGTTTTAAGACTTAACAGAGGCTGGCCTGACTAGAAGAAACAATTGGCTATAAAATTAAACTTATCCTGGATCACAGAAATGGTTCACATGAATGAACAGGTTTGATTTTTCCACTACACTTCTCTCTGTCTGTCATAGGCTACAAACAGCCTAAAGCACACTATGAAGAAGGAGTAGAGAATAAGGAATTTTTCCCTCTGTTAAGGTTACCAGCTGGAATTCAGTGAACAAGGGTATGCCCCATGATGGCTCAGCCTTGAGATGAGGAATGAAAATGGTAATAGGAGACACCTTGTAACACTCCCAGATCTTACCAGGAGACCATACAAACAGCACCATTGGTTACTTTGCCCATATTAAATATTTCCTTTTACTTGAGGATTATGCATGTCTGAGAATAGTGGGCAAAGTAAGGGAAGAAAGGGAATTCAAACTTCAAGAACTCAGCCATTAGATCACACTATAGTGTCAACAAGATGTATAACAGAAAGCCTAGACCGTATGTTGGCTCAATGACCAGGTCCCCTTATCCAGCCACTTCCCTTTAGACTTCAATTTTTGTCTTTTTTTCCTGTTTTTTAAAGATTGTACTAGACAGTTTCCAGGGTCCTTTTCAGGTTACGATTCTATGGTCTCAACAGTGCCATAAGTTGTTTTTCCCAAGTAGATATTTCTTGATTTAAACAGCATGCAAAACTCTCTTAACACAGTCCATGAAAATTCAAACCTCATCTTCCAACTCAATTCATGCTTCAATTTGCATAAAATACTTTCGTTATTCAGGTACTTTTAGTATATCCAGCCTAACCTGAAATAACTTATATTCCAGTCCTTCTCTATACACAGGAAAAGAATCATCATACACTGTCTTCTTTGCTATTTTTGTCTGAAATAGGATGATTAATGTAACTTAGAGGCAACTTTCAGATGTCTCAGAATTTAGGAAGAGCTATACTAATAGGGACGAGAGGTCACAGAGCAGAGTATATTCTCAGAGATCCATTTAAAAGGTTGGGTAATGCCACACCTTATGATGAAACAGGAATCACCCAGAGAAAACCCCAGAAGCTCCTGGAAGATCTTTATAATCCTGTGTTGGCAGACAGTAGCCCCCTCTTCTTTTGTAAAACCTCTCTCTTACTTTATAGGAGAAGGCTTTTGGGAAGAAAGTATGCAAAACACCCAACTGATAAAACCAAAAGCAATTTAAAAGACAGAGATAGTGAAAGCATGTATTTCTTTAAAACTTGGTGTTTTTGAAGCACATGATTCTGGAAAAATAAAAATGACTTGGTAGTGAGGCTGAAATATAGCAATGTGGAACCTAAACCTCACCATGTACCAAAAAACTGGGCCCACCACTCCTCACATCCCAGGGGCCCCCAACCCTTCCCAAGACTACTACTGATCACTCTCAGCTCTACAAGGCTAAGTCAGTCCTAGGGAGATGGGTCTGGGAGCAACACACAGCCCATGCCAGCTCAAAGGTGCTTGGCCAGTAAATCTCAAGCTAAAATGACCACCAGCCATTCCTAATCAAGGGAAGGGCCCCAGCAGCCATTTGGCATGACTTGCACAAAAGCAAGCAGAGCTCATTAGTCAGGCACGCCCCTCCCCCCTCCCTCCCTCCTGGGCATCCGGCCCCCCTAGGCCCCACTCCCAGGACGTTTCCACTCTTCTCATAACTGCTCATGGGAGTGGAGATCAATCAGATCCCAAAATCAACCACTACTTTAGAAAGGTGTGGCCCATAGGAGAGAACCCACACCCCTTAAAACAGTCTTAAGAAGACAGGGAGGCATTAAGTAATGAGAAGGGCAGGATTTTGGCGGGTGGAGAGAAGAAACTATTCCTCTCTCCCAGTAGATTGGGTAGGCCTCTCAGTTTAGTGGTGCTTAGTGAACTGCTGGAACTCCTGGGTAAAAGAGGGTAACCTGGATTATGTGTCACTCTATTGCTCTCTCCTCACATCCTAGTGCGAAACACAAACAGCTGAAGCTGCCTAAGGTGGCTGTCTGAAAGGTGAGTAAGAGTGCGGGATGCACCTCAGCAGCCCCCTCACTCCCAGTTTCTGTTTCTAGGGCCCCTTGGACAGCTGCTGCCTTTCCCCCAGAAAAGCGCCAATTCCTGGGCCCCAGAAAATTTTCGAGTTGGAGGAATTGGAGTCCTTTTTCCTGCGCCCACGTCCCTTAGGGGACTAAAAAACCCTGGGCCCCAAACGAAGCCTCTCCCACTGTTGCATTACCGACGCAGACAACTGGAACCTGAGAAAGAGGCCACCCCCTCTCTGTCCAAGCTTCTAGGGCATGAGGGATATCCCCTCACTCCCGAGGGCGCGCCAGACCAGGTTCTGACTCGCGTCCCCTCCCAACCGTAGGCCACCGCAGAGGGCGCGGCACCTCAAGTCGGCCGGTGGTGGGTCAAGCCGGCAGCCATCAGTTTAGGGCTACAGGAGTCAATTAGAACCTTTACGGTCGACAGCGCCCATCTCCAATACTCACAGTCTTGGGCATGGTGGCGGCAAAGGAAGCGGAGTTAGCGAAGTTTGGATGCAAACTGCCCTGCAGAGGTGAGAACACAGTATGTAGGCTCAAACTCCGGGGCTGACGGAGGAGATCGGATTGGGTTCCTCTCCAGCGTCTGAACTACAGCTTCGCTTCCTGCTAACGGGCCACGACTTCACAAACCCCACCCAGGAAAACGCAGCCCCCGTTGCGCCGCCCGCTTCTTTATGTGGCCGGGCTTCCGCGCTGCTCCCCGCCCTCGCCCCGCCTCCCAAACAGCCGCCAGCCTCTCCCCGCCCAGTCCAGCACTACCCAGCTCAGCCTCTTCAGCTACAAGGGGAAAGGGTCTGGGCCAGGCACCCCAACGTGGGGTTTGCACTCGACCCAAGCCTACTATGCTCCTCTCCCGCCTTCCTCACAGCCCCTAACCTTCCACGTTTGAGCCTTCTGGCCCCATCTCCTCACTCTGAACCAGAGCTGGACCCTGGGCTGCACCCTGGCAGATGCTTATGCAGTCCCTGAAGGCAACTTTCCACTAATGGGGAACTCAAACCTGACAAAACTGCCTATTTCCTCTCAAGGCAGCCTTGTTCTTCAGAACAGTCCTCCTGAGTGTATCTGAACTCTTTTCCCCGGTGATTTCCAACTGTGGATCTCAGCTATGCTCCTAGGGGCCACAACAAATTCTCTACTGTCCCTACCAGTTCAGAGGTCTGAAGATCCTGTGACCCCTGGAAACTTCTCTTGTCTAAACTACTTTATCTCTTCCAAAGCTTCGTCCATTCACTTTTGTAACAGAGTCTTTTCCACTACATTTTCTCTCTATCTTTGCTCAGTTCTTGTTCCGTCTTTTTCATCATAATTGATGATGTGGATTCTGCACCCCCACTCTATTTGCTTCTACCAAATCCAGTTCTCCTCAGATCAGTGCCCTGATCCTTTAGGCCCTCTTCAATACATTCATTTTTTGGTGAAGCTGTGATTCCCTCAAGTGAGATGCTACCGATGTCCAGGCCCTTGGAATGTATTTGAGAGCTCCTTTTCTATTTCTTGTTGAGATCAAAGAATCCCAGAACAGCAGTATTCTAGATAGGAGAGGTCATACAGTTAAGTCCGAGTTTCAGTTTGAAAGTGACTGACCATAGTTCTTTTTTGCCATCTCCCTTGGCAACTGTGCAGAAGCACAGCTTGAGTACCGTTTGTGACCCAGTGTAGAATAGTGAAAAGGATATTTGAATGTGGCACTCATGACACCTGGCTTCTACTCCTAGCTGTGCCACTAAATCACTTTGTAACCTCTGTCTTGGGTAAGTCTCATCTCACTAATCTTGAGTCTCCTTTTCTATAACAAATAACTGAATTCCTGGGCTTCCAAGGTTTTTTTCCCACCCTTACATTATGAAAGGATGAGAAAGGAAGCAGACTGCCTAGAATGATAGATGAGTCTAGTAGGATTGCATACGAGTTTTTATTTGCACTTCCTAGTTCCCTCTCTACTCCTTTTCCAATTTAACAGTGCCATGAGCTGATGTGCCTCAGTTTTTCTCTTGACTGCTAAGATTTATTGATGAGGCTCCTCCCAGGATTCTGCCTAGCACCACCTCCTCTCAGCATCCTCAATTTTCAATTACAGATGCCCCACCACCAGTCCTATGTCAATTTTGGCACTGTGGTTATGGTGGAAGAGACAGCAGTGCTGATGTAGAACGGATCATGCGCCAAGGCCAAGATTTCTATAACTGCTCTTATGAGTCATTTGATGAAGTAAACAGTATGCTTGCTGTTAAGCAGTATATTCAACAGAACATAAAAGCAAATTGTTATAACATTGACAAAACATTTGAACCACCTGAAAGCCAAGTTGAAGATACGGATAAATAAACATTTAAGACAATTTTTTTTATTTTAAAGAGAATAAAACCAAGCAAAATCAAACAGAATAAAGCCAATCAAAGCAAAAAAGTTCAAGTGATAAAAGACTTCAAAACAAGATAATAGGAAATCAAAAATAGTTACCATTATGCCTCTTGTCTTCAAAATTGCTGCCTATTTCTTCAGATGTTGTAAAAATCAAACAATACAGAACAGAGTAGAACCAATAAAAACAAAACAATGAGCACAATAAAAGACTTCAAAATAAGATAATCATAAACCCAAAATGGCTACCATAATATATCTTATTGTCTTTGAAATAGCTGCCCATGCTATTGGATATAATAAAATCAAACAAGACAAAATAGAATAAAATCTAACCCAACAAAACAATGAAAATAGTATAGGACTTCAAAACAAGATAATAAGGAATTAACAATGGCTACCACCTTCAGAAGGAAAACCCCCCGTAGATGCTACATTGTGTATTGTTATCCTCTGAATAGATGATCAGTCTACTGGCTTTAGACCTGCAAAGTCAGTGAAACACTAAACACTGCAAGCATTAAATTATATTTTACCCCCAATAGCTATCATCAGAGCCTGTGTTTCTCCAGATCAGCTGGTTGCTTTCAGTGTGGGGAGGTAGGTAGCCTTTTTGTCTTCCAACTCATGTACCAGAGGGACTGGCATTTGGCTCTTCATCCAGATAACTGCGCATGGCACCAACTTACAAGGAGGGCTTCCTTCTTGGTGACTTCTTGTTCTCTTCTCCCACAGTCCAAAAATGGCACTGTCTCACAGGAAAAGGTTGAAGTCCGGTTCTCCCCCCAGCGGCCCATGCATGACACAGACTTGTTTCTTTTTTCGTTTTTTGTTTTGTTTTGTTTTGTTTTTTTTTACCGGTATCAAACTCACGACCACGTGCTTGCAAGGCAGCTGCTTATGCCGCTGAACTAAATCCCCAGCCCCACCAACTTGTTTCTTGTTCGGCAATTCTACCTTGAAATAATAGACTTGCTGTCAGATTTCAAAGTGAATGTCATTCAAATACTTGTACTCAGTTACAGCAACTGAACAATGGATTATTCTTGTACAATTCATAAAACTCCAAGTATGTCCTGCTATAAACTAAACTAGACACATACTTTATGGTGCTGAATGTCTCCTGAATAATAATGAACATTTTCCCAGCAGGATTAGCATAAAAGAATCATCTGTAACAAAATTAAGATCTGTATGTCATAGGATTTACAGAATATTTTCACATGCTTATTTTTTCATCACCAGCAGATATTTGATGAATATGAATATGAAATATTTTTGTGTCATTGTTTTACTAAATTTGTGTTGAAATATAATTTTATGTCCAAGGATAGCCTGATTGTACCAATTTTAGAAGCAGAAGTTCAGAATTCAGTTTGTGAGAAAAATGAAACAAGACGGGAAAATCATAGAAAAACATACTGGTCCATAATTAACATTAATTATGTACTGTATATATATATATATATATATATATATATATATCATTTTAGACACATCAATCACATACCATATTATAACTTCTTTGTTTACATTTTTGTATGCTGTGTGTTGCCTTTTAAAATGGGAAATTATTCATAAGCTATATATTTACTAGTGTTGTACTCATGGTTTTTAAATGAGTTTAGCATTATGTGGAAGATTTTTACAGTTTAGTAAAATAAAATTAAGGAAAGAAAGATTTATTGATGGTGCTATGGTAAGCAAAGTTCCTTGCCAAAACTACTTTTTGAGCTGAGCATTTGTTCTCAGGTATAGCAGCATTTACCAGAGAGCCTCACCAGTAAGGGTAGAATGGCAGCCAATCGCACTCCTTGACACTTCTATGATCCCTTTTCCCTCAGAGGTTTAAGAAAGTCACTGATTCCTTCATTCACATTCACCTAGGGGCGGCCACAGAGGCTTGGCACTAAGCTAAATGCCTAAAGTGAAAGGAGAAGTCGATTGGGGACTTCAACGTTTTAACAAGTGGAAACCCCCTATATGTTATTGTCAATCTCTTGTACCAACATCACACACACACACACACACACACACACACACACACACACACACACATGTACAGGAGAGCTGAGCAGAATGTCAAGCTGCTAGCATAGCATAAACACCCTACTAAAATTGGGGGCAACAGGAGTCCAACTGACAGTGAAAGATTTCACAGGATGTGGTATCAGAGGAAGTAGGTAGAAACAGGAGGTGAGGGAAAGGGGTAAGGTTGGACCCCTGAGAAGGAGAAGGGTAAGAAATGAAAGGAGAATATTAGACTTTTGTTCCAGTCTTCACTTCAAATTAGGGAAATTGAAGATCAAAAAGAGGAAAGGACTTACCCAAGGTTACCATGAGGAATATGGGATGATAGAGATAAAAAGCAAAGTTAAGAAGCAGTTTCAAGGGCCTGGTATGGTGATACAAGCCTGTAATCTATCAATTCAGCAATTTAGTGAGACTCTGTTTCAAAGTAAAAAGGGACAGAAATGTAGCTCAATGAAGATACTAGGTTCAATACCAAATATCAAAAAAATACATTTTAAAAAACCTACATAAGACTGATTTATGTGAAAACATCTGCCAAGCTCAATAGAGATAAATTCGACTTGTAATCACCTCCCCCTATATTGTTTTCACCTTACATCTAACTTCATTATAGTAAAATATCTTTTGCATTCTGAGTGGCAATCCTATTTCAGAGGACATAGTTCAGTACAACAAAAGAGGAAACAGCCGAAATGAACTGGGTGTGGAACAATCCTAAATCTCAGGGATAATTCAGATGAAGAAATCCCCCACCCAGTGTATCGCATGGTAGCAGCTGAAAGTCCCCCATCACAAAAATGTTTTGTGGGTTGCTTTTCATTTTCATCGGGGTTGGGAAGTCCCTTCTTACACCTAAACTAGATCTTTTAGGCTTTACTCAGCACATTTGTTTTTGGTTGATCCTTAGTAAAAGAATCAACAAAGCTGCTTTTCTCCATTCACAGAAGAGAAATGTGTCAGAAAGAAATGAAGACAAACATCAGCTTGAGGCTACACACTTTGACACCTTGTCACTCTCTTCATTTTTGTAGACCAGCAGGCAAACACTTAACTAGCTGTGCTCTTTACACAAACAAATTAATAGGATAAAAATGTATTGTTTTCTGCCCCAGGGAAACAGGCACAAAGGGGCAGAAAGTGTAAATTTAACAACAGGGAAATCTTGTTTTCAAATACCCTCGCTAACTTATCACAAGCAAAAAAAAAAAAAAACCAAAAAACAAAAACAAAACTGTTCAAATGACAGATATAAAATA